ATTTTCATGGGTAAATCAACTATTTCTATGGCCATGGCTTCAATAGCAAACTGTTAGTTTACCAGAGGGTATGAAGTGTGACTCAAACCACGTCATTCACGCCCCGAAGCGGGCTCGCTTCGCTTCTCGGACGTAGCCATTGGTCTTTTCGCTGTTCCTGAGTGAGATGTGAACTGTCTGAACTGCCCAGTGCATTCAAGCTTTCGCAATGCTGTCAATTTCAAGCGGGATCATGATCCTATACAATCTGTGTGGTGGTATACCTACCCCCCTGAAAAATATGAAAGTCAGATTGGGATGATTATTCCCAATATATGGAAAGTCATAAAAGCCATGTTCCAAACCACCAACCAGTAGTAAAAGAAACATGTTGAAACCACGAGAGAAATATCTCTGGAAACAAAGAAACTTGGAGTTCCAAGAGGCATGGATGTAAACACAACAAATACATATTGGGTGATATGTAATGGGAATATAAGCCGGGAACATCTTGAATGATAATGGGATATCATAGGGATATGATATAATATAAAGCTTGAAACGGTAAGTGAATCTACACATATACTGTATATATATACATATACATACACTGTATCTAGAAACAACTGGAAAAACGTATATATAATATTGTACACCGTTGAGCAAAAATCTTGTACGGATTCACAACTTCAACCAGCTTGGCACCTTGAAATTTCCCACTGACTTGGGGGGTAACTCCGTACGCCAATCACTAGCCAATATTACCCTCCAGTAAATTAACATAGACCCTGGCAGATAGGGGTTGAAAGACTAGTTTCCACTATAAATTGGTCATGTTCAGGGTCTATGTTAATTTACCACGGGGTAACTGTTTTATACCTATCCGTAGTTGAGAACCGTTCAAGACCCTGTGTCGTCTCTTGATACTGCTGGCTCAACAGGACTTCCAGCCTCGATTTATCCACGGAGGCTTAGCAGCCAGTGCTCAATTTAACTTTAATAAAACCTGCATCTCTGGTCCCCAACACACACACAAATATCATTATATCGCCTTCAATGCCCATAAAAGTGATTACATAATGTATGTTCATTTATATACATTCATCCTATTTGGTAGATATAGATTAATATATTTACCTTGATATCCCATGATGCTTAATCACATATATTCAATTATTAAATGCCATACTTAAATCCCATTCATTGATTATCCTTCATATTCCATGATTAAATCCATGAAAAACCACACTAAACCACATTGAATCCCATTGAAATCCAGTTTAGATTACATTAAATCCGTATTTAAACCATAATAAATCCATATTAAACCAAAATAAATCCATATTAAACCATAATAAATCCATATTAAACCATATTAAACCCATATTAATCCATATTAAACCCATATTAATCCATATTAAATCCATATATACACTGGTGACTCACATGAACTCCACGCTTGGCTCCACGCGCCAAGCGCTCCGCCCGTGACTCTTCGGTCCTGGGCTCTTCACGCCTGGGGCATCCTCCACTCCCGAGGCGACGTCCACACCGAAGGGGCGGACGCTACTGACCAGCTCCTCAGGCGGGACGAGATCATTGGGTCTACCAGGGATTTCATGGGATTTCATAGGGATGTATATATGGGGGTTTCCACAAAATGAGGGATCCCTATAGCTGGATGGGTTATTTCATGGAAAATCCGATTAAAATGGATGATTCAGGGGTACCCCCATTTTAGGAAACCTCCATATAATCATCAGGGTAATGGGATTATAGAGTGATATCTGGGTTATATAATATTTTACCTGAATTAAGGCGAACTAACTGGCAAAGATGGTGATATACTGGGACATAACGGGATTTAACTAGCAAATATGGTGATGTAATGGAATTTAACCAGCAGATATGATGAATTAACATGACTTAACCAGCAAATATGGTGATAAACTGGGATATAATGGGATTTAACTAGCATATATGGTGATTTATTAGCACATATGGTGATATAATGAGATAACAAGTGATACAGAATGATACAGAATCACAATCGGCGAGATAATGGGGATGTATTTAATGGGGATATATAATCACTATGGGATACAACAGGATTTATTGGGACTAACCAACCAAGATTATGTTTTGGATATTATGGGGATATCTTATAGGTAAATCATCTATATAATGGGATAGAATAGGAATATTATGGGATTTCATGGGATCTTAGTGGGATTTAGTGGTACTTAACCAGCAAACATGGGAATATCATGGTGATATAAGGGATTTATCATTCAGAATGTATACAAGCTGGTGCTCCCCCAGTGTTGTTTGTTAGTTTCTAAGCCATAGGAATTATTACATCTATCATAAACTCTAGATTCTAGATATTGGAGTTATAAACCAACTTAGCTAACTTTGGGGCACCACCTTGTATACTTAATGGGATATCAACAGCCAGAAATGGGAATTTGCGGATAGGCATATCATGGGATATATAACCCACCATTAAGGTCTACCCTCTGGTGTCATCAGACATGGCCAAAGTGGGTGGTCCCCTATCGGTTGTGAATGTGTTCGCAGAAATTTTCTCAGATCCCATGTCCACTCCCCACCACTTTAGTCGCTAATTTTCTCGCTTAATTCACAAAAACATGTGGGGATTTGCCACCTGAGCGGAGGGAAAGTTGGTCTATGGGGAGCTTGGTCAATTCTCATGGCATGGTTCCCAGCTCCCCGAAACAGCAAACCGAATCTCCACAACTCGGGTGGTATGTTTACCATCCTCAAATGGTAGGTAGGTTTATTGGGTGTCCCACATCAAGGAACCACGAATATTCTACAGTTGATGCAAGGAGTGCCGAAAACTCTGGTTGCAGAAGACACATTGATATATAGATTGTGGATGATGCAAAGTACTCGCAATGCAAGAGAATCTAAATGTTCTTCAAATAGTTGCGCAACTATGTATCATCTGGCAATGTCAGGCCATGCAATCGAAAAACTTTGTAAACAACGGTAAATCATCAAACCAATGATAAACATAAGTGAAACGCCACTTCGCGGATATAGTGAAAAATGAGCCTTTTTTAATTACAATCTGGTTATTTAACATAGCCATGGAAAATCACCTTTTAAGAACGGTAAACCATCTATTTCTATGGGCCATCTATACCATGGCTATGTGAAATATCCAGATGGTACATGAATTTACCACATCATCTGAATTTTGTTGGGGTATTAATCACATTACCATGGAAAACCATCTATATTTTCCCATAGATCATAGATGCTCCATGGTTTTTCCAAGGTTTTCCCATCGATTTTCCCAAGATCACCCGAGCTTCGGCCACATTCGCATCAGTGAGGCCGCCTGCGACAATCACCTCGGAGTCGAAACGATCGGAAGAGTTTGGATTTGTAATATCTTAGAATGGTGATACGGAGATACATATATATATATGCTTATATCATCTTATATCTCAAAAATGTTGGTTTAAGATGGTTTAACAATGTTTAACCAATGAACATCGTGGTTTCATGGGGATGTAATGGGGATCTAATAACTTTATGCAATTTAAATAACCAACACGAGTTGTCTGTGGTTTGTATAAAATGACGATTACGTATAGGATCTAATAGGAATCACCTGCCATATTCGTATAGGGAATCAATGGGATGTCCAGCAATGGGATATAACTTGTATAACTAATCAACACATATGTTCATATATGGGATGTTCATTAGTGTATATATGTGTATATAGTACATATAATAATCAACACAAGTAATTCCAGCTGGGAATATAGCAATTGGATTCACTTGTTCATATATGTTCATATGTGTATTCCCGGAATTGGTTTCTTGGGAAATCATATGGACATATGGGAATATCCTCGGAATACAACAGGAATTACTCTCTGGTAATTTAACATAGCTATGGACAATGGCCCATTTATAGTTGATTTATGTACCTTTTAAAAGTGGTGATTTTCCATAGTTATGTTAGTTTACCAGGGGGGTAATTATCAATGAAATGTATAACTGACACCATGATATACGGCAATCTGACTACACCTCCCAGCTGGCAATTAAAAAAAAACATAAAAAAACATTACCATTAATGATGACTAAGTGGATTTAGGGGGGACCCTATTTTCAGCCACACCCGTATCTTTCATTGAAATCAACCATCATAGGGAGAAAAGCTGACTGATTTCAAACAACAAGACAATTTATGATTGAATCATCACATCATATCCAACATAGATATTGATCTACGGTACATTACAGTGTATATACCATGCAATGGAATGTTGAAATATTGACATCATACCGAATCATACCGAATCAACATATATCTACAGATCTACGCCAATGATCCTCCCCTCGCCACCAATTGGCTTTCTTGGGAAAATTGCACCCGGATTTCCGCAGGATTCCGCCCTGGGATTTCATTATGGGAAAAGCCGAAAAAAAACGAGATAGTTTCCCATGGATTTTCCTGTTTCAAACATCAACATCTCCACAATTTCCATCAACACCATCAACAAACACAATAAATCCCATGACAAAAAACAGGAGAAGTTAACCGCTTCAATTTCTCCCTCCAAGTGATCCAAGACACGGGAATGCCCCACTCCTCCTGGCGGAAATCCCATCCAGAGATCCCAATGACCTTAACTGGTTGGTGGTTAAAAAACCATGGTTACCCTCTGGTGAACTAACATAGCAATGGAAAATCACCATTCTTAATGGGAAAATCCACTATAAATAGCCATTTTCCATTGCTATGTTAGTTCACCAGAGGGTAATAGTGATGAAAATAGTGGTTAATACCTGATCTAATGAACAATATAACTGGATATAACTGGTTGGTGCTGCAATTTCACCATCTTGAAAAATGATGGAGTGAAAGTCAACGGGTTTCGGATGACATCCCATATATGATTATTCTTATTATGGACAATAAAACATGTTTGAAACCACCCACCAGATAAGAACAACTTCAGTCTCAAGAGATCTCAAGAGGCGGCGTTAAAAAATAACTGCCTTTCACCGCACCAAATCCCCAAATCCCCCGTTCCGATCTCCTGACAATGCTTGGCCACGTTCCAATCAAAGGCCGCACCAGTGCCACCCGAATTGCTGCCCTTCACTGCGGTGTCCAGCAAAATCGCATCACAGGAGATGTAGGATGACCTTCGCAAGGCGCAACACGGATGATATGTATGTGGTTTCAGCCCCTACATCCACCATAGTTTCTTTTTGGGTGTTTAATCTGAACCTAACATGAGCTTAAAATAGCTTAAACATAGATCTATTTTTGCATCCTAAGATGGGAAAACATCCTGTTGTCCAAGGAATTGGGCAAATGGAATGATGATATTGATTCTGCAAATTTGAGTTGGGGCGAAAAGACGCAAGACATGTCAAAATTGCAAGGACCCAAGGACCCAAGGACCCAGTCTCAGCAATTTTGAAATCATCAAGTGAACTTCAAATAGCAAAATAGAGTCAACAGAAAAAACACACCTGCTCCATGCATGAAGTTGCTGAAACATATTTCAGTGGGATGCCAACCAAAGCACCAAGGCGACACAAGGGGCCCTACATTTAGGGAACCATCGTAATCTGATAACCCCCATTTTGGGGGGGGGCAGTAATGAACCCAGGTAATGAAGCCCAATTGGGGACGGTTTGACTGGACCCAAAATGGTGACTGAACATAGCGAAGCCATGGCCCATTGAGTTCGTTGATTGCGGCGATGGTGATGTTCCCTAGCAAACTGTGAGTTTACCAAAGGGGTACCTTTAAACAGCACCTATCAGATAATGGCCCAGCCATGGCGAGCGACAACTTCTCCTTCAGTTGGGCCAGTTGGCCCTCCCCGTTCTTTGCGGAGGTCTTCGGCGGCAGATGCACCACTTTGATAAGCCATGTGTCCTCAGGATCACTTCTATCTGAGGTAGGAGGTGGTGCCCACAAATGATAGCTAACTTGGTGAACATCACTAGGATAACTATATGGTAGCTTGTAGATGCATCGAACTAGTTCATGGGGGTTATAAACCAACTTATAACTGGGTGGGTACCACCTTGTATAGATGTCGACAGATCTTCTTGGTCATCCATGCATCACAAATTCATGTTTTGTGTGTTATGTTGGATGTTGGATTTCTCCAAATATGAAACATGTCCCCAGAAGGTTTCTGTATATTGTCGTCCAATACACAACCATATGCATTTTTGTAGGTAAATAAACCATATGGACCATGGAGCATCTGGGAAACAGTATAGCGCATTGTTTTCAATCATGTCGCAAGACTAGTGATCAACCGACGCCAGCTCAGCTGCTCACGTTAAAAACAATCCCAAGTGTTCGCGACAGGTAAAGAATGTTAAATCCACATCGTTGACACTTGTATCATCATGAGTTATCATTGTATACTACATACATTGACCACTGTCAACAATAAATCTGTAACATTCTTTAACCACTGTGACTGTTCTCGAAAAAAAAAAATATCAATCATTTTTTACCAGTACAGTAACCTTTTTGTTGCCCATAAAAAAACAACCAAAATTAATTCCACACAATGGCCTGTGTCAGCCACAAATCGACCCGCCATGACTATCAACCATGATGTTGACCTTTACCATCAAATCCTCCACAAAAGCATGATCAACCATTAGAAACCAACATTTAAAAAAAATGTTTAGCAATTAAAAAAATATCCAGCCATCCAGCACGACATTTCCACACACAAGAAAACTCTCAAATCCACAAAAAACCTCTACCCTTTGGTAAATTAACATAGCTATGGAAAATCACCATTTTTAATGGGAAAACTCACTATAAATGGCCATTTTCAATAGCAAACTGTTAAATTACCAGAGGGTAGAAATCTCCATGGCATTTCCCAGCTTCTGGCAGCAACTTCTGCAGTTCCTCCACGAACTTGGCATCCTCCGCGCCATGCAGCTGCACCACGTCCAGCTCCACCGCCAGGGCCGTAGCACTCACCTCCTCCAGTGGCTGGTCCATGAAGACACCCACCTGGGATCGACAGTTGTTCATTGGAAAAAAATGGGGATCTTGGGAGATGGCGAAGGGTTGGGCTTCGATTTTTCGAAAATTAGGGTCGTAGTGGTTTAACATATGTTTTAACTGGCATGAAAAAAGGGAGTTGACTCTAGCAACAATTGGGCAACCAGCAACCAGCAAACATTGGATTAGGGAATTAGGTGGGCAGGGCAAGGCTGGTGGAAGAACCGTAAACGTAAAATGGTCACTTATATACAAGGACCCTTCGGAAGCCGTAGTTTGACATGTTGCAATATTCTGCCTACAAGAGGACATGCTCTTTGTTCCAGACGAAATAGATTTTTACAAACTTCATAAACAGTACCCTCTGGTAAACATACAAAAAGCTATTGAAAATGACCATTTATAGTGGATTTTCCCATGAAAAATGGTGGATCTTTCCATAGCTATGTTAAATTACCAGAGGGTAAACTACTCTACTCATTTTGGATGTGCAAACATGGAGGGATCAGGTCGTGGAGGTTCAAGGAAACGACCCAAAAAATCCCCGAAGAATATAGATGTTTAACAAACCCTGATGAGTGATTGTTGGTGGTTGAAATGTTTGTAACAATGTAATCTGGTTGGTGGTTTTAACATGTTTTAACCATCTTGAAAAATATGAGTTCGTCAATGGGAAGGATGACATCCCATATATGAAATGGAAAATAACATTCATGTTCCAAACCACCAACCAGTAATAAACCCTTATTGGGGGTCACCTTTGGGTTGGTTGAATCCCAATGAAAGTGGTGAATCACACACATCCAAGTAGGAGGTGGGCCTCAGGATCTCATTTTTCCCAACAAAAACCATGGGATCTTCGCTCTTCAAAGGTGGTCAATAGCAAAGGCTGGAGCCACCGAACAGGTCGAAACCCACTGAAGTTGATAAAAACACATGTTCTGTGGGCTGCATACCAATTGAAGCTGCTTCAAGTCAACATATGTTGCTGATTGTGACCTCCCATTCTTGTTGTCAATCCATACATTTGAATACATTTGATGCTGATATATCCAATTTTGATTCTTTCTGCACATTCGGGGTGAAGTGAAATCGTCATTTTTGCCGGTGAATTCCACATCTTGGGTAATGAAAAACCCTAGCTGGTTGGTGGTGCAATAACCATCTTGAAAAATATGAGTTCGTCAATGGGTTTCGGATGACATCCTATATATGAAATGGAAAAAAACATGTTGTTTGAAACCACCAACCAGTCATGGTCTGAAACATGGTCTTATATGGCTATGGATCAAAACCTATTATATAATACAATTTTTAGGGGAATGAACATCCATTTACCAGCTATTTTGATGTGAACTACAGGGGTACAAGGTTTTGACACACTGCCATATGCTTTTGCACATGAAATGGGCTTGAAATCCCGAGTTTTGCTGCTTCAACTCCAGTGGTTTCCGAACCGTCCGTTCCAAGGCGCCACTAAGGGACATCGACACGCCTTGCGCAGCGCCACTGCACCATGGGACCAGCCATTGGAATCTCCTGGATGTGGAGAAAAGCCATGGGAAATGTGGGGATGATCCAAGGTTTGGATTGATACCCTCTGGTAATTTGTTACATAGCTATTGAAAATGACTATAGAAATAGTGGATTTTCCCATGAAAAATGGTGGATCTTTCCATAGTTATGTTAGTTTACCAGAGGGTAGTCCCTCAACAGTTCCCGAAAGATTCGTGGAAAATCTGGGGAAAACCATGCGGAAAATGATCCAAAATGCTGGGTTAAAATGTTTTGAGGGTAACTTACACATATTTAAGGTAGATAGGAAGCTCACACATCACTGACCCAGGAATCACCAGGGATTTAGGGAGACCCACATGCAGGGCAACAGATTAGGACGCTAACCCAACCATTAAGATAGATATGGTTGTCAGTCAAACAGTTGCTACCCTGCAGTGAAAACATCAGTTTGCAGTTGGTAAATTGGCGAACGGAATGTACATTTATATGACATTACATTTCATTTACCATGGTTTTTGTAATGGAATTATAGTGGATACAAGTACCATGGAACATGTTCATATCATGGAAATAACATGGCATGGTTCACCTAAATATGGCAGTTCCATGGGTTTCGACATGTTTCGACTCATCCCCATCTGGAAAAACCACCAATGTCAGTGACTTGGAGATTTCGATTTATGGCATGTCTTCAATGAACAACTTGATGTTTGAATCCTCCGAAATTGTCTTGTTGTTTGCTCTATGGCTCTATGGTACTTGTAGGTGATATGGTGTGTTTCTTGGTTGCAAGTTCCCGAATTTGGGATATGGTTTTTATGTTTTTGTTGGTAAAGTCCCAGTGATTTCAATCATAATACACCCTTTTTTTTGTTCGCAACGTCATGATTGAATAATCATATTGAAACATATACATTGAAACCATTTCTGGGCAAGTTCGTGATCTTTATTGATTGGGTTGATCCACATGATTGAATTGTTCTCTGGTTATCTTCGCCATGATTGTTGGTTCTTGAACCAGTGGTGAACCACCAGTGGGGCCAAGTCCCCAAATGTTGATGGGCCAAGTCCCCAAATTCGTAAGACAGTGCCATTTTAAGGAGGACGCAGGCATCAGTTCTACTCCCCTTTCAGCCGTTCAAATCCATATAAATATATATATATATAATTATATATATATAAATATATATATATGGCAATGGAAGTCCCTATGTTTGTCAGCAAACAACTGCATATTTGATTGGATGAATCCACATTTTTTTGTTGGTGAAACATGTGCAGTGCTTGGCAATAAATAAACAATATCTCCATTAGATGCTTAATTCCAAGTGTTTTTCGCAAACGGACTTGTTTTTTTTCTATACTCATCATCAAAAAACTCAAGTCAACAAAAGCAAAAATGGTGTTTCATCCCATCAAATTTACTGGTGCTTAGTAGGGAATTTTCGGAAATGATCCACAATAACTATCATTTTTATCATCCCGTTCCCATATGTTCCCATTCATTCCCTACGTTTAGCACCAGTAGATAAACCATATGAAATCCCCGCCCTTCACCGCCAGAAAAAACTGGGCCGAAACTCCTGCGCGCTTCGCGCGCTCTTGGCGCTCGCCGAAGCGACGCACGGTGCTGATCACCTCCTTGGCCTACGATGGATGAGGATTTCAAGAAGGTGATGATGAATCATCAACCAATCATCCACGAATCAGAAAAATTCATCATCACTTCTAATTAATCATCACTTATAATCACTAAGAATATGATGTTAATAGTGATAATAATAATTGATGATAATTAAACAAAACATATATCACTATAATAAATCGTAATATGACGATGTCAATTATTATATTCATGAAGGAATAACTATAATAATAGTGATGAATAACTATAATAATTAATAATAGTGACTTATAGTGACTATGAATCATCACTAATAATATGATGTAAATAATAGCCACCATTTAGCTATCACTCATGATGATGTGATAACCACTAATTAGTGACTATTAACAAAATAATGACATCTAGTAATATAATGACATTTAATAATATGATGTCATTTAATATGATATCATTTAATAACAGTGACTATTCATAATATAATGATGTGATAAACATTGACAAACTATAGTTATCACGAATAATATGATGTTAATCAAAGTGGCCAATTAATTATCACAGATAATGATGTGATAATTACTTATTAGTGATGATTATCATCATGTTTAAAGATGTGATGATGAATTAACAGATGATGGTGATGATGATGATGAATCATTACTATGACCAAATAGTGACTAATAATATGATGGTGTGATTAACTATAGTGATCACTAATTATTCATTATAATAGTGATGATTGTCATCAATATAATTCATAAATAAAGATTATTAAGATTGATGCGTGACTATGAATCATAGTGATGATTATGAGCTATTAATGGTGTTTGCTAATAATCACTATTGTTGATGATAATAATAGTTAATAGTATTAGGCGACTTAATATATAATCAGAGCATTATCATTAATAATCGCTAATACTATGATGACAATCATCGGGATCATCATAATCATAATCATAATCATTGCTATAATGGGATTATTAGTGATTATCATCAAAGTAGTGATTATTTAATGATGTTTGCCAGTAATAATCACTTTCATTGAAGATATACAATTAAATGATAAATGATAAATAATAGTTAATTATTATTCTATACTAGTATTATTTGACACTGCAGATTTATTGTCAATATATCTTCATGTTTGGATGGACGAATATCAATCCAACCAGTATCATGTCCATTCAAACATCCGGACAAATAATAGAAGTATAGAATGATAATGGATGGAATATTGATGGAATATCAAAGTATATCGAATAGAATATCACTGGAATAAATGGGAAATCAATGGGATGTAAATAGATTTAAACTGATGTAAATGGATATACATGGATGGATGTAGCTAAAAAAAGATGGAACTAAACTAACCATGATATGGCGGGGCCACGTAACCAAACATGGTATAGGACTATGATATGTTAGGATTTAGCTCGCCATGATCTGGTGAGATAGATGGAATATAAATGGGATGTAGATGGGATATAATGTACAGAATAATATGCAACGCTGGTATATCATCAGGAATCTATAGGATCTAGAATCTAGAAGCAAGAAGAACTAAGATGATTTCTTATGAAAAATCCACAGAATCTCATGGTGAAAACCAACAATTTGGTTTTCCTGCACATGTTCCTCTGCAAACTAAGTGTGGGAAGGAAAGGGATGATGAAAACGGCTGTGACCAGCAAAATCTAGGGATAGGTGATCCACCAAATAGTGGTACCACCAAATTTTGCGAGGTATAACAAGAAAAGTGATAGAAGGGGAAGATTGAACCCTTCCAAATTGGTGTTTCAGCCAACAAACATGGAACTTCAGATTCGGACTTGATGTAATCCCACCAAAGCACGTGATGCAATCACACATAGACATGGGAAATAAGGTACCCAAAATCCACTGGTTTATCATCATTTTCCATCAAACAGGCAGATTTATGTGGTTAATCCACCATTTTGAGACTCAAACATCAAATTGTTGATTTCACAATCTCATTGTCTCCAGTTAACCAGTTAAATCCCATATATTGGCTGGATAATCCCATTAAAGCCTATGGTATGATACCAAGTATTTGGGCTCTTCCCATGTCAGCCAGGCCATACAAGCCATACAATGGCCAGTGCAATCCCAACGTATCATGGTAAAATACCATATCTTAATTGCTATATATATATAAATACATATGAGCCGCAGACTTTATTTGGTACATGACACAATTGACGGGGTGTTCCTACCTCGTTCTCCAGTCCCGTAGCGTTTTTTGGGGTCTGACCTGTGTTCCAACGCCGCGCTTGCTTTTAGTAGCTAAATGCTTTACATGAGATGCCTACCTCGTTCTCGGGGTGTTCCTACCTCGTTTTACAGCCTAAGTATGATGTTTTCGGCCAACCGGAGTACACCCCAATACTGCTCTCCATTAAACCAAATAAAGCCGTCGCTCATAGATACATATGCTATATAATGGCTATATATCTCCACCATATCAAGGTGAGTTTACCCAGCATATTTTGCGATTTCTGGCTAAATCATCATTTTTGCTACTTAAATCACCATTCAATCATCAAAAATTGTCATTCAATCCCGTTAATTCATCAAAAATGATCATTAAATCCCATTAAACATCACCATAAAATCACAAATGTGTGTCCCTTTTTCTTGGCGAACACACCACCAGGTCCCCACTGTGACCCACCGTGTCACCGTGGCCTGCTCACGGCTGGCCTGGCGCTTTGAAGCCGCGAAGATGACGCCAATCAAATTGGCGCCCGCCGCGATGGCGCAGGAGGCGTCTTCCACGCGGCGAACGCCACAGACCTGGCAGACCCGGCCCCAACGAGTGGATCATTTTCATGGGATTTTTTATAGTGATTTCAATGGGATATTAATGGGATTTTTATGGATTTTGTATGGGATTTCTATGGATTTTTATGGATTTTATGGATTTTTAATAGTGATTCAATGGGATATTCATGGGATATATCCTCCAGTAAACTAACATAGCTATGGAAAATGGATGAAAATGGTCTGTCATGGTCTGTCTATAGATTGCTTCCCGGGCCCATTAAAGATGATGATTTCCATAGCTACGTTCGTTCGCCATAGGGTATATGGCTAGAAAAAATGGGGATTTGGGATTTGATGGTGACTATGGGATTTGATGGATCTTTTTTTGGGAATGGAACGAGAATATGACGGGAATATGATGGGATTTGATGGGGATTCAATGAGGATTTAGTGGGACTTAAATGTTTTTTTTTGGCACGCCCAGTGATGTATTTTGGTTTTTAAATCATTATAAATCACATGCTATAGTTCTATCCTGCATAAACCCAAATGTTCACCAAGTTATGTGCGTCAACTTAGCTATCTTTTGGGGGCCTCACCTTGCATGTGTCTAGTGTATGCATGTGAAACTATGTGACTATGTGCATGGAAAAATATACGTGTATATATATATATATATGTATTTATACATATGTTTATCATTCTTTAATTCTTTATTCCGCTAACCGCTAACAAGAAAAGTAGCATGAAGACTTTGGAGTAGCTACTAATCCCTTCTCGGACACATGTTTTTCCATCCGCCCCAATATGGACCCCCAAAATGAAGAGCGATCTAATAGTAAACTATGGGAAACTATAGAAAACTATAGTCTATAGTAAAAGTATACTAAACTATAGCAAACTATATCAAACTATAGAAACCTAGACTAAAACTATACTCCAACTATAGCAAACTATGGCTTCTAAGTTGGAACATTTCTCACAACTTCCCACCTTCACCAAGACTTCGCTGGCCGTGCTGGGTAGGGCGCTTTCCTCCTTGGAAGTACCCATCATGCTGAGAATGGCGCTGCCTGGAGCGACAACGGACCGAAACGGACCTGGAGATCGCTGGCGGGGATTAAACTCTCTGGTAAACATACCAAAAACCATGGAAAATGTCCATTGAAATAGTTGATATACCCATTAAAAATGGTGAATTTCCATAGTTATGTTAGTGATTTTCCATAGTTATATCCTTACAGCTATTATAGATACCCCCTGGTAAACGAACATAGCTATTGAAAATGGCCCATAGAAATAGATGGTTTACCTATTAATAGCATGGTGATTTTCCATGGCTATGTTAAATAACCAGATGGTAACTATGGAAAATCACCAATGTTAATAGGTAAATCAACTATACACCGTTTTTCAATAGCTATGTAACAAATTACCAGAGGATATGAACAAAGCCACTTGTGTTGGGAAACCGTTTTCAACCAAGTAATCAGTATTTCATGAGATGGGATAGATGATTTTTGATCGTATTTTGTTGATGGATCAGGTATCCAGGTTTTTCGTCCTGCAAATACAAGGATTCTGGTGTATATATATATAGCATGATGTCATTTCATTCAAAAAAAAACATGTGGATACATGTGGAGATGATGTTTCCAAACATGTATAGCTATTGGTTGGTACATGGGGTTGTCTGGTGATGAAACATCTATTGCTTGGTTGGATCAGCGGAATCGCACCGGTCATCTTTGTTGCCCGGGCTGAGCCAAAACATGTCAAAACCAACTGCGTGAACCTGCGGCGCCTTTGTTTTTTGCAATGGTGCCCCAATCTCATGCTTAGCCCAGCTGCAAAATGGTTCCCCTTCCCACTTCTCATTGTTGGTTTATAATATAACAGTTTATAAAAACGTATTTTCCATACATCTACCATAAAACATAGTGAATTCACCCAAAATGTGGCGTGTGCCTAAAATGTGGGGGGCTACCCCAAATCATCTAAAATCCCACCGGTGTAGTATTGAAATCTATGGTTTTAAAACAGTTTTAGGATGTTTTAGGGTACCCCCATGGGTTTCACCTCCAGGTATATAAACAATCTGGTTATTTAACATAGCCATGGTATAGATGGCCCCATAGAAATAGATTATTTTCACAGCGAACTAAACCTCCATATTTATGGTTGGGATTTTCCATGGCTATGTTAGTCATAACCAGAGGGTATATATATATTATATGATATATTAGCCTCTGGTAAATAAACATAGACCCTGGAAATCAGCATTTTGTAATGGAAACTAATCACCATTGACATTGGTTACTGGTAAACCCCACCAACCAGTAACTTCTTCGATCCACCTTCGCTGGCGCCGCGGCGCCGCACCTGGATCTGCGGCTCTCATCAAAGCTTCGCCGACCAAGATTCCGCTGCAACGGATGGCACGGCACCTGAAACGGAGACGGGAGATTTTTTGTGATTGGGAAGATAATCACATATACAACTGTTATATAACTCCATAAATCACCTATTTTGATATATTTTGATATATAACTCCATAACTCCATAAATATTCTACCCCCTGGTAAACTAACATAACTATGGAAAGATCCACCATGCTATTAATGGGAAAATCCACTATAAATACTGGGCCATTTTCAATAGCTACGTTAAATTACCTGTTGTATAACTCCATAAATCACCTATTTTGGTTAATGTTACTAAATATATCTAGATATAACTCCATAAATCACCTATCTAATATAGTGATTTAATGCTATTTGAAGCTGGTTCCATGGATTGTTCCATGGATTGACTCGAAACCAAAGTTTTTTTGTTGCTGTGAATTCCAAGCAATTCCATGGTGGTGGATATTTGAAATTTGCTAGGTTTTTTTTTGAATGGAATTCACCAACCAATTTAGGGGATTTTGTGTTGCATTGTGTTAGATTTGTTATGTTTTTCTCTTTTAATGGAGATCATGCAATATAGGGGATTTTGTGTTACTAAACCACCATCAGAGAATGAGCCTCTGGGCGTGTCAACATGATAGGGTCGAGCCAGGCTGGAACATACAATCACCGAGCAGTATAGCACTGCATATAGATATGAATTGAAAATACTGGAAGCAATTAGTGCTGGATGTAGATATTGATGAACAAACTTAAACCGAATATATATATATATACACATACACTTTTGGCAACATGTATCCACTGGCACAACCAATGCTCGCCGGGATTGTAGAATGTATAGATCAATGAAAAGGACCTGTGGATGGCAATGGTACGGACAAACCCTCGATTTGGCCGAGGCACTTTCAAAACAGTGTATATAGTGGGTCATTCTGTCGTGCGTCATTGCACAAGTCATCCTGAACTCCAAAGCCTAAAACCCCAAAACCTGAAACCCTACGCGTCGAAGCCATGGAAAGAACCAAGGGAACCCGGTAGCTTTTAGGCCATAAAACCCTCGGGGAGATGTGTCTTGCTCAACCGAACCATTTTTTGCGCTTGAATCTTGCCCGGGTAGGTCAGTTGGTCCAACTTGCGGCTACTGTAAGTGTTGCTGGCAATCAAATCGAATTAAAATCCCATTAAATTAAATCCCAATTAAATCCCACTAATCAAATCAAAAGTATCATGGGTCCCATTAAATCCCATTAAATCCCATTAAATCCCAATAAATCCCATTAAATCCCATTAAATCCCATTAAATCCCATTAAATCCCAATAAATCCCATTAAATCCCATTAAATCCCAATAAATCCCATTAAATCCTAATAAATCCCATTAAATCCCATTAAATCACCATGAAATCCCATTAAATCCCATTAAATCACCATTAAATCCCATTAAATCCCATTCAATCACCATTAAATCACCATTAAATCCCATTAAATCCCATTCAATCCCATTAAATCACCATGAAATCCCATTAAATCCCATTAAACCCCATTAAATCACCATGAAATCCCATTAAATCCCATTAAATTACCATTAAACCCCATTAAATCACCATGAAATCCCATTAAATCCCATTAAATCACCATGAAATCCCATGAAATCCCATTAAATCACCATGAAATCCCATTAAATCCCATTAAATCCCAATAAATCCCATTAAATCCTAATAAATCCCATTAAATACCATTAAATCACCATTAAATCCCATTAAATCCCATTAAATCACAATTAAATCCCATTAAATCCCATTCAATCACCATTAAATCACCATTAAATCCCATTAAATCCCATTAAATCCCATTAAATCACCATGAAATCCCATTAAATCCCATTAAATCCCATTAAATCACCATTAAATCCCATTAGATCACCATGAAATCCCATTAAATCCCATTAAATCACCATTAAATCCCATTAAATCACCATTAAATCCCATTAAATCACCATGAAATCCCATTAAATCACCATTAAATCCCAATAAATCCCATTAAATCCCATTAAATCCCATTAAATCACCATTAAATCACCATTAAATCCCATTAAATCACCATGAAATCCCATTAAATCCCATTAAATCCCATTAAATCACCATGAAATCCCATTAAATCACCATTAAATCACCATTAAATCCCATTAAATCCCATTAAATCCCATTAAATCACCATGAAATCACCATTAAATCCCATTAAATCACCATTAAATCCCATTAAATCCCATTAAATCCCATTAAATCACCATTAAATCCCATTCACTCACCATTAAATCACCATTAAATCCCATTAAATCACCATGAAATCCCATTAAATCACCATTAAATCCCATTAAATCCCACTAAATCACCATTAAATCCCATTAAATCCCATGAAATCAATTAAATCACCATGAAATCCCATAAAACCATCCCCTTCTCGCCGAGTCGCTGCGCCACATCCTCCGCCGTGGCCAAGCCGCTGAGCGCCAGCAGCTTCGTTTCTTCGCCGGCGCCAAAGGCTACGCCGCGGCGGCGGAGCTCCTGGTTGGGAAATCCAATAACTATGGTTTATGGTAGATATAACTATAGTTAATGGGGTTTATAAACCAACTTATAACTGAGGGGCACCACATTGTAGATTTTGAGATTGCGATGGCAAGAAAGGGAGGATAAACACATGGCGATGTCCAGATTTTAGAGATTTCAACTGCCGGAAAATGGAATTTCAATCATCAATACCCTCCGGTAAACGTTTACATAGCTGTTGAAAGATCCACCATTTTCAATGGGAAAATCCACTATTTCGACTGGGCCATTTTCAATAGCTATGTTAAATTACCAGAGGGTAAACTTAGAGATTTCATGGTGATGAAAAAAGGAACGACAATTCCATCGCGATGATGGCGATGTTAGATGGATTTCCATGGCGATTTGATATGATGTCATATGCGAATTGATATGGATTTATGGCTGATGATAGCTAAGTTCGCTGCAACTCCAATAACTGTTGGGTTTATGGTAGACATATCTAGCTGGGTCTATGGGTCGCAACTTATAGCTCGGCCCACTTGGGCATTTTGTTGCGTAGGTAGGGTTACTGTACGTACAAACAACTTATAAATGGGATAAGCTAAATATGTAAGGTATTACCAAGGTTACTAGCTGCTACTGTAAATGAGATGATCTTGGGGTGGATATAATGATATCTTGGAAAGATACATGGAGATCTGATGGAGATATGCAGAATACTTGAAGTTTCTCAAGATTTGGGGTACCATGGGGTACCCCAAAAGCGTTGCTTTTCCTCTTCATTCCGGCAAACCCCAGTTTAAGTGAAGTGGGTTAAATGTTGAAGCCATGATTTTTGGCATCAAATAACAGTTAGGGCCCATTGCTGGCAGTATTGGAAACAGTGTATCATCCTGTTTAAAACATTACTAAGCATGAACATAAACGTACATAATGCTACTATCACTGTCGTATCACAAAAATATATATAACTACGCAGATCTGCATAATATATCATAATATCATATAATTATTTATATAAAACTCAGTAAATTCATGGTAAATTCCATACAATTCATAACCATCTGCAATTGGGGCTTCAAAGTGGCTTTACGAATTATTGGACACTCTCTATTAAGGGATGATGTCGACATGACTCCTATGGCTCTAGCTGGTAGCAACTTGACGAGAGCTGCCAAAAGGCTTCCCTTCCTCTGCACCATTCCGCCCCACCCAATCCCTTCGTCCTTTCTCCGTCCATTCCACACCCCCTTCATCCCAGCCCTAAATCCTAAACCTTAAATAAACCCTTACCACAACCCTTTACAAAAGTCTAAACCGTCTAAACCAATAGAAATCCGAAATCTGAACCCCTGAAACCCTGAAACCCCAAAGACCCCCCAAGCCGCCAAGCCGCCAAGCCCTGAAATCCCACCCTGAACCAATCCTGGGCGATGAAGCAAGTCCGATCCTTGTCCAGCACCAGGGTATGCAAGTTGCCTAAAGGAGCTGAGCTCAGTGTCTTCGAGCTGAGCCACGATGAGCACCATCTGGTTATGGCTGTTACATAGCCATGGTATAGATGACCCATAGAAATAGATGGTTTACCGTTTTTAATAGCATGGTGGATCTTTCCATGCCTATGTTAAATAACCAGAGTGTATATTAGTATATATATATATATATAATACACACTAATAAATCTGTACTGAATATAGAAATGAATCCGCTCTGAATATAGAAATATACGCTCTTTTTCTAGAAAACACTTCTCAGATTGTTTACATATATATATATGTAAAGTAAAGTCTCTCTCTCTCTCTTTCTCTCTCCTTTTTCTATACATAAATACTCTATATGTAGCGTGATAAACATATCAAACTATAGTTGCATGTCATAATAAGAAAATAAAGAATGTTCATGGACTCATGTCAAGATCCTCATGAAGCCAGTTAGAGAAGCAGGCTGGCAGCTGCTCATTTGCTGAATCTTGAAAGAAATTTGACATATAAACCATTCACCATTCCAAAACATTAGATTGTTATTTTAAGCAAATGGAAATCTCATCACAATTTTGTGGAATTATTATAAACCATTAACTATTTGGAAAACATCACAATTTCCACCTGCGCAAAACAAAAAACGCAAATCACAAACCGTGCCAAACCTGAACGAATGCCCGAACGAAAATCGCCGTCTGAAACGCTCCTTCATTCCGTTGTACTGGTTGGTTAATAGGTGTTCCCACAATGGATTGTGATAATTCCCAATACATTGGCTGTAGTAATAACCCCCGAACTCATCATCAACCAACATGGATTTTCAACACAGCTCAATTCAAACAGAATCATTCCCATCGAACAACACCTGAATTTATGCTGCCCAACACACTCAAATATATGATTGATGGTCATATATCCCATGATTGAATTTCTTATTTCCAATTAATCCTAGTGGTTATATGATGTCTATATATATATACACATACACGTGTGTGTGTATATATAATTATGTATATATATATATATTTGTCTATTCCATTCTATCGCAACAAAATCCCATGAACAAAATCTTGGCCGTTGAGGGTCGGTTGTTCACTCCGATCACACGAGCTTTCACCGCGAGAGCCAGCTCGAGCTCTTGCGCGGTCACCACTTCGACCAAGGGTTCCATCTGGTGCCTGGGATGAGGACCAACATGGCTGGTTTTTTTGGAGAAGGATGATGCAAATACTGAAGTACACAGAGTTACAGTAGCTCTATATATATATACATAATATATATATATATATACATTATATATATACATAATATATATACATAGTATATATTTATATACATAATATATATATACACATAATATTTATATACATAATATATATATACATAATATATATATATATACATAATATATATATATACATGGTATATATATATACACAATGTATATATATATACACATTATTGTATCAAAAGAGTGTATGTGTATAATGTATATGTAGTGTGTATATATATATACAGTTTATATTGTGTGTATGTATATATAATGTGTGTATTGTATGATTATGTGCACATTGTCAGTGTATATGCAAATATCACCAATGTTTGCTTTCTGATGCTTATAATTATGCAGTCTTGTATCCTCCTGGAGGACATGGTTCAACCAGCCATTCTATGGGATCTACTGGGTTCTATAATGGGATATATCATCAACAATATGATATTTGGATGTGTCTGAGAATGGGTATAGTATCCCACATTATGGACGGTTCAAAAGGTTTTTCCATAAATTTTCAGACACGCTTTTTTTGGGGGGTGATATTTTCTACACCCCCAAGCAAACTTCCGGGTAAAGAAGGGAAAGTATGGAAACGTCTGAGCTGTGTTTCAGCCAGAGCTGCTCTCGACAGTAGCTGACCAAAGCTTGCAGCTTGCTCTTGGACAAAATGGACACCTCGACCGCCGCTGCCAAAGAAGTTCATCTATCGGGCTGGGATTAGTGGATATATTGGATATATCATGATGTATCGTGATATATCTATACTTGGTGGGGTGAAAAGAAACCAACAAACTCGGGGGAGAAGGGGGGCACCTCGCACCGGCCTTGCACCTTGCGCGAAATTGGAACGGATCCACAAGTGGCTTGTCGTCGTTGAGTACTGAACCAGGTTGCAAGCCATAGTTCAGGCTGAATACTGGGTGACACACTCTTTAGGCACCCTCAACGTTGAGTCAACCACCAGTTCTGGAACCTTTAGTTAGCTTGCTGGCTTGAGTGATCATGTCCCTTACCAACTCATGTGAAACTGCAACGTCATCTTGCGTCGATTCAGAGCGGAAGCTTCATGACATCAAAAAGCTTACATTCGCTTACCCTCATAATTTGTCATAGAGCTGGAAGATCCGGAAAATTCGAGGGCAACCATAACCATAACCATGTCATAATACCATAACCTCAAGAGATCTTCCATAACCATGTCACTTTTCATGTCTGACATGGTAGGTTCCCCTGTCACCCGTGGGAATTTCCAGAACCACCGAAAGGGGATGGCCGAGTAACATCCAACATGCATCACACTATTGCGCATCAGAAAATTAGTTGTTGCTATCTACTCACGCTATTACTAATCAATAATTAATTTTACATAATATATATATATGTATATTCCAGTTATAATATATATATATATTACAGTTACCGTATATATATATATATACATATTAAAACAAATTGATAAGTCACCATCCATGGTTCTCGCTGACAATGGCCATGGCACCATCAGCAGCACCGTGTCGGCACCATGTGCTAAAGCTTCGTCCACCTGGTACTTGTCGATGACGAAGTCCTGGCGACCAAGTGGCGCTTGGTTGGTGCCCAGGCACCAGGGACTTAAGTAGTATCCCATTTATAAATGGTATCATATCTGTATATATCTATCATTTAATGGTCATTTATATAATTATATATATATATATTTGTTGATTACCCTCCAGTAAATTAACATAGACCCTGGCAGTTGTCGGGGTTGGAAGATTAGTTTCCACTAAAAATTTTGGTCATGTTCAGGGTCTATGTTTATTTACCATAGGGTATCATATCTGTAGAGATATATATATATCATTTCATGGTCATTTATATATATATGGGATATGGCACTTGTGGATATCATATCCCATTTACCAGATAAACATCATGATAGATATATTTAAATGATTTAAATTGTAAATATCATAGATATAATCGTAGATAAATGGGATATAATGGGATATCACCAGGTACTTATAATATTCTAATGGTAAATGAATATGATATAAAATCATATCCCAGTATGTCCCATTTATCCTGGCACAAAAAAATTACACACATGTGTATGTCAAGTTACTTAATGGTAGATAGTTGGAAAATGATTTGGAATATATATATATATAATGTGCATATAATTTATCAATATGCATGACTATGTTGACGTGACTAAGCGCTTGGATCCATCAGATATTTTTCGTCAATTTTGACAGACAAATGCCCACCAGGGTGGGTGTCATCAAACATGACTGGCAATCGGAAATCCCAGTCATCAACCGATATGGCATTTATCTATACATGTCCCATGACGGATCCATGGTGCTGGTATATATGCTAACATAAAGGGGGTATATTGATGGTAAATGTTACCATATATAGCATACATGGATCCTATGGGTGTATGAACATGTTTTGTTATAGACTAACGATATAAGGGTACTTCAAGGGAGGAATCGGCAAGCCATGTTTGCGCAGGTTTGGGTTGGGTAGATGCCGCAGATGCCAGCAAATAGGGGAAACTAGCTTGAGATTATAGACATCAGTTTGTTGGGATACATGAAACAGCATGATGAGCGGCTATGGAATCATCTGGGGATAGTTTGCTAGCTTGATATGATGAAATGTGATTTGTACAGTAATCAGGTCAGAAAACATGAGGATGTTCGTTCGTATGTATACTGTACATATGATAGGAATAGCAATGATAATGACAACAATAAAAGATAACTGACAACAAAATCAACAATAGTGATTGATACCAATATTAATGCAGTAACAATAATAAAAACAATTATAAATCACAAGCGTCACAAGCATGTAATGTTGCATTCTGATTAGTGGCTAGGTTCGCTATTGTGGCAAGAATTTTCCAAATTATTCTGAACCCATGTAATGTTTGGAAGGTTCACTATTGTGGCAAGAAATCTTGGGAGACCATTTTTTTTAGGAAAAAACAACTACTACACAGCACATACTACAAATACTAATTATAAGTAATTGCTACAAGTACTACACAGACCACAGCTACTAAAACTATTCCAAATACTACAGGTACTACAGGTACTACAAGTTCAATTGCAAAAAAAAAGTTTAATTAGATTTCAATTGTAGCCAATTGAAATCCTTACTTAAGTGCGGATTTTGTTTTCTGGGACACACATTTTTGGCGCCTAACTTTAAAGAGGGTATAGGTATCGTTTTGGGCGGGGCCGTACACTAATCAGGACGAAACATTATCCAAGAAGTCTTTGGGTATTCTGCCAATAAAGACCAGAACTTCAAGCAATCAAAGAGTCGCTAGTCTAATTCCCAACATCTGAGCCATGCCATGCCAGGTTTTCTTTCGTCCTTCCGCAGACAAGCGGGTCGCCGCTGACCAGCGCTCTTGGACCATTCCTGGAACGGCAAATGAAATCGCGATGAGATCTGCCAAATGGCAGACGAATTATGTCACAATGGGCAAAATTACGTTGGGTACCCAGCGATGACATCATGTGTTTTTCCTCAACACACATATAGTTAAATACCCGCCCCTCAGTGAACCCCAATGTTATATGTTTAAACTCTGACCCAAATCCAAATCTTTGCTAGTAACAAATCATCACATAAAAAAAAAAAAAAACATCCCACTTTCTGTGGCTTAAAACTTTTCTTCCTATGTCGCCTATGTCTTATAGCTAAAGCCACGATTTTTTAACCCAAATACGTTGCATCGTCAATACTGAGAGTTACCGACTGGTGCAGTAGCCGTGGTGATTCCCTGCAGGTCACATTCCAAAAAAAAATAAGGGAAAGTCATAGATATCTAGTGGAATTTAGATGTGATGAACTATCGATAGCAATTTCTTCCGATATATATTATATAATATTATATATATAATATATTATAAGATAATCGTACATATATTATATATATTATATATATGTGGTTTTATATGGTTTTATGTATATATGGTTATATATGGTTATAATTGGTTATAACTAATTGGAATCATGCAAGGTGGATTAGGTCATTTATCCTGGGCAATGCCAAGGGATAGCTTGGGTGGCGTACCGTCCATCCGTTCATCCCCCATGCCCTCTGAGCATGTTGGGGAAGACAAAATCCAATGGTTTTTTGAAAATCCCTTCCAATATCAAGCCATTTTATGATTTTTTATGCAACCCATATCCCATTTTGGGAGACAGCCATATCTTGTTTCGTGCAGTTTGGGCACCTTCCAAACCTCGGGAAGCGACAGATCTCTCCAAGATGGTCGATCATTTTTACCGCGTATTTCCATGTATTTCCAACTTTTCTA